GATATAAAGGGGGGAGCGCCTGGGTGACTCAGTTGGTTGAGTGTCTGCCTTTGGCTCAGGTCCTAATCCAAGGGTCCTGGGATAGAGCCCCAGGTCTGGCTCCCTGCTCAGTGGGGAGTCTGCTCCTCTCTCTTGCTCTCCCTCTGAACCTCTCCCTCTACTCATCTTCTCTCTTCCTCCTAAATAATTAAATAAAATCTCAAAAAAAATAAAAGATATAAAGGTTATATAATAAAGATTAAAGGCAATGTAATAATATGTATAATTATTTTTATTTTCAAATCACATTGTCTACTGATAGTTTGGGTTATTATCAGAAATAATAACGTTTATAATAGATACATCTATTGAACATTTACTGTTTGCCAGACACTTTTCTTTAAATAGTTTTTTTTTTTTAAGATTTTATTTATTTATTTGAGAGAGAGAAAGAGAGAGCAGGGAAAGGAGCAGAGGGAGAGAGACAAGCAGACTTCACGCTAAGCAGGGAGCCTGATGTAGGGCTCAATCTTAGGACCCTGAGCTCATGCCCTGAGCCAAAATCAAGAGTTGAAGCCTTAACTGACTGAGCCACCCAGGTCCCTCCCTCCAGACACTTTTCTTTTATCTTCTAATCCTTATAAAATCTTTTTAATAGAGTGTTGCTATCTTTTATTTCAAGATAAAGAAACTGAGTCTCAGTGAGAGTAAACAATTTTAACGAGATTGCATAACCAGCAAGTGTGCAGCCTAGTAAGTGTGAACTCTTTTGAGCTCAGCTTTGCTTGGCAGTTGAGCCCACATTTCTCACCATTATTCTAAGGGTCTAATTAAACTCGATTTCTAAGTGAAGTTGGAGCTAATGGTGAATGCGTTAAGAAGAATGATAGACACTATGACATGCTCTAGGCGGAAGACTGATGATAATACAGCCTCCATCCCCAGTGTTTATCTTTGTGTTATCACTGTACTTTGGAGCACTTGATTATTACTGTATACAAGCTAAAGGATAAATTGTCTTTATAATGAATGAAAGAATTTTACTTTTTAGACCAAATGATATTGGAAAATATTTTTGATCTCTCTTCTAAGAACACGAAGGGATTAGAGTTCAACCATTAGAACAGTGATTGAAGGAGGATTTGTAGAGGCCCAGGGGTAGACTATTCCAGGCAAATGCAATTTCAAACAAATGTGGTATGCAAATAATACATGCCACTGTTGACCTTTCACCTCTTTTTTTCTATTTCCCTAAGCATTCATCTCTTTAATCCAAAATACTCAGTGTCCCAGGAATGCCTACAGTGGCTTAGAGTTCCCAGTCCAGTGCCAGACATGAATAGTTTCATAGGTTCCTTGACCTTCATCCATTTAATGGACCCTTTGCTCCATTGGTTTCTACTTTTCTAGGTGATTAGTGTTAGCAGGTTCATTCCTAAGAATTGAGGCACCTGGGATGAGAGTATAAATGAAGGTCTATATATTTTGTGTCATTATTATTTATTTTAAATCAAAAAATTATTATTAAAATATGTATCCTCCCACTATGACATTATAAATATCTTTATAATAACTTGGATGGCCAGGTGAAATGTTAGAATTTTTGGACTCCTCAGGAGTATGGTGGCATGGAGAGAGATGGACTCCAGCCTTTAGCCCCTCCTCTAACCAGTTCTTTAACCAGTATTATAGGAAGCTTTGAGCAGAGTGAATGGACCCTTGGCCTGTACATTTAGCCTCTATGTATTTTCCACTCACACATCTGCACCTGGACCACCCATCCTTGCTTGGTATATGCCTGTTGGTGGCACAGTCCCCTGACTGGGGAAGAGAACTGTAAAGATGATATCATGGGATCTAGATGAGGCATTAGGGCAATTTGGGAATGAAATTCTGGGATCACAGGGGTTTGGAATATGGGTCTTCTCTAGAGAAAAGGAATGCAGGTTCCAGATGGGCACTTCTCTTGACTCTATGGACTTTACCTATTGGTGAAGGTATGGGCAGAGAAAAGCAAGAGTGCTCAGCAAATATTTATTGGTGTCTCACTATGTGCCTGTATTGTTGTGGTCACATGAGACACGAATGAACAAATGAAAGTGCTTGCCCTTGCAGAACTTATATTCTGAGAAAGGGAGAGACAGACTATAAATACTAAATATAATAAATATATACACTATATAGTAAATTAGAAGGTGAGAAATACTATAGGACAATAAAAATTCAAGCAGGAAAGTTTGTGAGGATTGTTAGTCAGCATTGTCTTCCACTGAGAAGGACAGATTTGACAGAAAACTTGAAGGCAGTGAGGAAGTTAACCAAAAAGGTAATAAAAGGGCAAGAAATTCAGGCCTTTAAGAGTATAGTGAGCACCTTGGGGTAGGACCACACTTGGAATGTTAGAAGAACAAGGAAACCAGCAAAATTGGAATAGAGTGAGAAAGGCAGAGAGTTAAAGAAAAAGTTACAGAAAGAATTGATGACCAGATCATATAGTATTGCACTATGCAACAGAAATGTAGTGACAGCCATAAAAAAATAATTTTAAATTTCCATGTAGCCATAATAAAAATGTAAAAAGAAAGGTTAAAATGAACTTTATTTTTTTTTAAAGATTTTATTTATTTATTTGACAAAGACCACAACTAAGCGGAAAGGCAGGCAGAGAGAGGGGGAAGCAGGGTGCCTGCTGAGCAGAGAGCTGGATGTGGGGATCAGTCCCAGGACCCTGAGATCATGACCTAAGTTGAAGGCAGAGGCTTAACCCACTGAACCACCCAGGTACCCCTAAAATGAACTTTAATAATGCATTTTATATAGCTCAATTTATCTAAAATGTGATTTCAACATGGAATCTTTAAAATAGAGAGCGCATTTCAGTTCATAACAGCTTTACATTGCAATTACTCAATAGCCCATATGGCTAGTTGTTGCTGCATTAGGCAGAACAGATAGATTTTGACTCATTCGTGAAAGAATTTTTCTATTATTTTAAGTGACTTGGGAGATGTTTCAGGGTTTTAAGAATTGGAGTGTCATGGTTTGATTTACGTTTAAAAACGATCAGGGCACCTGGGTGGCTCAGTCTGTTAAGTGTCTGCCTTTGACTCATGTAATTATCCCAGGATCCTGGGATCAAGCCCCACATCAGGCTCCTTGCTTAGCAGGGAGACTGCTTCTCCCCTGCTTATGCTTGCTCTGTGTGTCTTTCTCTCGCTTGCTCTGTGTCAAATAAATAAAATCTTTAAAAAAATAAAAACAGGTCCAAGGGCACCTGGATGGCTCAGTCGGCTAAGCATCATCAGACTCTTAAACTCTTAATTTCAGCTCAAGTTTCAGTCTCAGGGTCATCCATTCAAGTATTGCACATTGGGCTCCATGCTGTGCATGGAGCCTACTTTAAAAAAAAAAAAAAAAAAATCAGGTCCAGCCTTAACTGAGAATACATGATAAGGAATCAAAAGAATTAGAAATAGGGAGATCTATAGCAGTGATTTTGATAAGGGAATGATGATGGCTCAGATGATAGTAGTGGTTGATATAAGAGGTGATTGAATTGCTGATCATTTTAAAGGTAGAACAAATAGGATGGATTGGATTTGGTGTGCGAGAGAGGAGTCAAGAATGACCCCAAGACTTTGGCCAAAATAATAAGAAGGATGGATTGACCACAAATGAGATAAGAAAGACTGTTGGAAGGTTGGGGCAAGGAAGATGTGTATTCATATATGCATAGGGATATCTGAGAAGTCTTGTAGGCATTCAGGGGAAGATGTGGGGTACGCAGTTAGATAGGAATCTGGAGTTTAGGGGACAGGTTGGAGGTAAGAGTTTGGAGATCATCAACCTTGAAACTGGATAAGGTCACCAAGGGAATGAGAGTAGAGAGAAAAGACAGTATCAAGGATTCAACACTGGGACATCGAAATTAAGAGGTCTATACGGACATGAAATTGACATTAAGATAACATAAAACATTTTACCACCTCTGCATTTTATATATATATATATATATATATATATATATATATATATACCTATTTGTCTATTTTCATGTTTAATATATTTATATATTCTATATTTATTTTTATATATTATATATTTATTTATATTTAATATATATTTAATTTTTTTAAACCTTAATACATGCTGCTCATAGCTTTCACAATGTAGGTTATTTTACTGAAAAAACTAACTTTAGATGAAACCTAAGGGCTTTTTTTGTGACTTTCTTTAAAATGTACCATAAACTTTCAAGTAATCAATTTATGCTATGTTAAACAATAGATAGTAAAAATAAAAATTGTGGTTGTAGGGGTGCCTGGGTTGTGCAACTGCTTAAATGTCTGCTTTCAGCTCAGGTCCTGATCTCAGGGTCCTAGGACTGAGCATCAGGAGGCAGGAGAGGAGCTCCCTGCTCATCAGGGAGTCTGCTTCCTCCTCCTCCTCCCCATCCCCCTGTTCTCAATCTCTCTCTGCTCTCAAATAAATAAATAAAATTTTTAAAATTTTTTGGTTGTAATTAAATTAGAGATTATTATCAGTCTTTAATGCATATTGTTTATTATATTTGTGTTTCCCAGAAACATATAAGCTAACTGTCATTGCTAATGATAGCATTAAATATCACTATAGCAGTTTAAAATATGTCCCATGGTCTACAGACTGTTGCAGCTTCGTTTTACTTGTGATAAGCTTATGAATTTGCTGCTTCTTATAAAAACTTTGGATGATATCTAGGTGTTCTTACCTCATTTTAGTCTGTCGAAAATGAGATATTTATTCCTTTAATTATATTCAGATTCCAACTATGAAGAATGTTTTATAAATGAAATCCATTATTTTACTATAACCACATTCGTGACTTTTAAAGAGTACAATTCATACTTCAAATGAGAATCTAACCTTTTGTTTTCTTGTATTATCAAGGTAATTATTTACAATATAATGGGGAAATTAATGTACTGACAAATAATCTCTAATTTCTTTTTTAACAAAGGCAATTGTTTTTGTCTTTTCAGTCTATTCGAGAAGTCACAGGCTATGTGTTAGTGGCTCTTAATCAGTTTCGTTACCTGCCTCTGGAGAACTTGCGCATTATCCGTGGGACAAAACTTTATGAGGATCGATATGCCTTGGCAGTATTTTTAAACTATAGGAAAGATGGGAACTTTGGACTTCAAGAACTTGGACTGAAGAACTTGACAGGTAAGGAAAACATAACAAAATTAGAAATATGCTCTCATTATCAATTTAAATGCAATAAACATACACATATGTGTGTATGGTTACTGTGGTGTGTGTTATACTGAGGAACACTATAAAGCATTTAAATATCTAATCTTTATTCATTTCATGGGAAATAATGCCTTGTGATGCCCTTGCTTTTATTTACAGATATTGTAAGTGTAGTCTGAAAGATACCGTAATACTGTATCTCAGCTGAACAGAAGTACACTCTGAGGAAATGCTCAGTGACTGAAAACTGAGATAGGAAGCAGGTTTAAGAATGCTCTGTTTGGTAGTCTCAGGTGAACAGTGGACCGTATCATCAAATCTTTGCAATAAATAACACCATAACCTTCACTTTCGTTAGAGCTCAGTAAATACACAGCCTTTATATCTAGTTAAACTAATCTAGTTTTTTGCACAGTCCCTTATTTTTGGAAAATGTACCTTGATTTACTAATTTAGTTTTGATTTATCTTATTCAGTAACTCACTAAATGTCATCAGAAATTCTTTCTTAAAACGTTTCAATATTATTATTGATTTTCCCCCTTAAGATTGGAAAAAGGTAATTGCTGACAACCTAAACTTACCAACTTGCTGCAAAAAAAACCAAAAAACAAACAAACAAAAAAACACAGCACTTTGTGGGAATTTGTTTTGTAAGCTGGTCCTGGCAATCTTGCAGATAACCTTTCAGTCCATATAGTTCATAGCTCATATAGGCTTCAATTGAACATATAGACTATCGTAGGAGTTTTGGTACAAGGTTTCTAATCAAGAGTTTTGCTATGTGTGCCTGTAATCAAGTAGTGCTAATTAGTATTTAATTATCATCTCACAGTGGGATAAAGGAGTTTAAACTATTAATTTAGCCTAAATTAATATCATCTATATTTTGCATCAAAAGACATAGTGATTTTAAGTGTGTTTGAGCCCACTCAGTGGTAATGTTTCTTGACATTAAAAAATTACAATTTTTAGAGGTATTGCCTCAAAATACTAAGTAAAAATAACATTGATATTGTCAAGTTACTAAAATTATTTGTTTCTTTAATTTATAGTGGGTATAAGATATTTCAAGTTAGAAATTGCATCATTTTAAGTTAGAAATAGAAATAGCTTCGTGGTTAGCCAGACATGTAAGCTAAAATTGGATATTTTGGATGAAGAAAGAAATACTGATTATGTTATTTATTTTGGATAAGATTGCTGTAGAATTGATGGCATAATGGTAAATGAAAATTATTCAGAATTTATAGATTCCTCCATTAACATTTTACTTTTTTGTTCTTTCCTTCCAAAGATAGATTCCTTACTAAAGAGCAGAGTTTTTGACTAAATTGCTACTTGCCTGGAAATAATGATAGGAAGAATTTTAGAAATGGAATGGATAGAGAAAAATTGAATGATTAAAGTAAAGAGTCTAAAAATAATATAATCTGGTTAAAATTTACATAGGAATAATTATGGTTTATTAAATGATCCTCCTCTATTTATATTAAAGAAAAAATGAATACATTTTGAACTTTTTACAATACTTGAGTTATGTTATTATTCCATAATATTTGCTATTTGAATAATCTTTTCATCCAAAAAAATCAATCTTTAAAGGCTCACTTATTTATTTTTACATTTAACATTAGTACTACTCAAATATTTTTAAGTTATTTAATCAAATTTATGCCCGTTTAAACATACCTTATTTATTGAGTGAGCTCACACCATGATTGCTTATGATCATGACAGCTTGTGTCATACCAGAATACAACACTGTAATTTCAAGAACATTATTCCCTATTCTGCAAGAAAGTCTTATAATATTTGTGTGTGTGTGTGTGTGTGTGTGTGTGTGTGTGTGTAAAATAAGTGACTAACTAATAAGTGGCTAAGGAATGAATTGATTGTTCAGAACAAAAAATGCGTTTGTTCAAGAGTTATTAATAATTTATTTTTGAATATAAAGAAAAGTGCAATAAAATAAATGGTGGGAAATTTAAGCAACTTAGAAATTGTCCAGATATCTTAACATATTTATCAGGTGGCTTAGAATTACAATTGAACATCAGCCCAGCATCGTTGATCTTACTCTAGTTGATTAAAATCAATAATGTAACTCCAATTTTGAAAATCAGAAGTCACACAATAAGCATGATTCTATTTGTGTGTTAGAATACACGGGAAAGGGTAAGAGACACTTCACTGTACACATAGAGGGGAATTGGGGAAGAAATTTGCTTGATAGTTGTATCTTAAAGAGCCAAGTGTTCTAGGTAACCTGGTAAAGTAACCAGAAAACATTGCAATTCACTTCAGATAAGATTGTTTTTGTGTTTTGGAAAGATAATTGTTCTATCTTGTTTGTTTATATGCTATACAAAGCAAGCTGATAAAAATTTAAAACAGTTTTAGGGTTATATTAAGTGTAGGGCTACAGGGTTAGCCCTAACTTTAGGGCTGTCTTATATAATATGAAGGGGAATAGAAAACCTGCTAAGTAGTCAGATGCCTCACTACTTAACTGTCCTAGTGAATTAAAATGTGTAACTTCATTCTTAAAAATTAATAAAATTAAAAAAAAAGTAAAATAAAGTAAAATAATAAAGTATTAACTCAGTTCTTAAAGAACCGACTGTATTAGCATCACCTGAGTATTGGTAGAAATGCAAATTTGGGGGCTTTGCTTGAGACCTAATGGACCAGCAACTCTTGTGGTGGGGCCCATCAATGTGTATTTTAAGGATCCCTCCAATGATTCTCATGGCCACAAAAGTTTGAGAAACCCTGTTCTGTTTTTAATTAAAGTTATGTTACCAAGAAATGATACCTAGTTAACCTCTTCACTTACTTGACCTGAATAATTTTCATTCATTTATCATCTCCTAGAGAAAAGGGAAGGAATGGGACAGAGAGGAGATGAATTTGTGACTGAATGATGAGAAATACTCCTTAGGTTGGGGTGAGAATGAAAAGAGCATACTACGAGTTTCCATTCATGGATGTTTCATGAATGGAAACATGTGGGTATTAAAGAGCTTGGAGATTAGCAAGATGCTGGGAGTAAACTTTCTTCTGTATCGCCATTTGGTTTGGTACCAACTTTGCATAATGGTAAACCATAAAAAGGACAATAATAATCATGGTCAATTTTCCTTTTAAGCAAAATTTTATTTTTAAACATTTTCAACAAGGTAAATAACAAGTACTATTTGTGGGGGTAAGAAGTATGCAGATTGTAACAAATGATGAGATTATGATTTCACACAAACACACACACACACACACACACACACACATATATATATATTCAATATATATGTAAAATTTTTGTTTCTCCTAAAATCTTTTTTGCAACATTGACTTTAGAATAATATAACTTCTTTTTTTTTAATTATGTTTACCTCCTACAAACTCTACCTTTGCATAAAAGGGGTTTGATTAACTTGAGGACTGTCATATATAAGGGTTAATGGTTGGATGCCACTTAACACAGACATAAATTATCTTCCACCTTACATATTCTTATTAATTAGCTTGAGGCTCACCAAAAGCTATTCCTTGGACTATAATTATTACTATAGATCTTACCCAGCAACTTTCATTCTCGTTGTGCCCAAAGACAAGAAACATACTCATAAGTTCTGGAAAACTTGTTTTACTGCTGCTGCTCACATTTCCCTGGTTCATTGTCAGTGAGGTGGAACAGAGTGGAGAAGAGGCAGGTCCTGAGGCCAGGGATATGCCACACAATGTAAATAAAAGGGAGTAAGAAACTTGTCTTGGCAATCCTTAGGTGCTGTGTTAGGTTGGGTCATCCTTTTCTGGTCAGGGGAGAGCCATATTTCCATCAATGGGTCCTTCAGGCACATAATCATTTTGAGCCCATTGAGAATGGTAGGACTACAGAACTGGAGAGAATTCATTACTTCCTTTGTTAAGGTCACTTGTACATGGCTGTGGTTTTATTAATCACTCCCATGATGGGGTTCTGCTGTTTCTTTGTTTTTATCAGATCCTTCTTAACCAAATATCCCTATTCTAAATTAAAACCAACAGCTAATATATTTACAACTTGAAGTCTACAAGCTTCTACTTATTTAGTTACCTGTCTGTCCAAAATCTAAAAGTTGTTTCATTATATGGGGCAAAAAAACTCAAAAAACAAAAAAATCAAAGAAGAAGAACAACAAAAAACACTATTATTTTCTCCTTTCTAGAATTTCTAAAACTACCTCATCTGGATAATATTGTACAATTTCATCTATATGTGATATTGTAGAAATGAAGGAATCTTTGAGAAATACCTAGGTTCATATCTATTCTATTATTCATAATCTATTTATAATGATGATAACCTGAATACAAATTTACTACATAAACATGTACATTTTTCATATAAAATTTCACCTTAAATATTTGAATTTCCATTTTATGAATTATTAGAATATCTCTTTTGAATAGGTGAAATTTGAGGTAATACCAGTATGCAATTTATGTTTTCCAAATTTACCAAATACTCTCCATATTTCCAGACCAACACATTCATGTATTAGTGCTTTTTTTTTTTTTTTAAAGATTTTATTTATTTATTTGACAGGCAGAGATCACAAGTAGACAGAGAAGCAGGCAGAGAGAGAGGAAGAAGCAGGCTCCCTGCTAAGCAGAGAGTCCGATGCAGGGCTCGATCCCAGGACCCTGGGATCATGACCCGAGCCAAAGGCAGAGGCTTTAACCCACTGAGCCACCCAGGCCCCCCTGTATTAGTGCTTTTATTTAATGTTTTATGGCTATGTTAATTATTTGGTACTGGATCATCTTGATTAGATTATTATTTGATATGTGGAGAAGCAAACATTTTAAACAAAATTAAAATGCTAAAGTTAATTTTGGGAGCCCTCAGTAATAAGGGAAGGATATATTAAGTTTACTGTGTTCTGGTAGACTAAAAATGAAATGCTTAGATCAGGAGATAGAACATCT